AGTACAGGGTCTACAGGGTCTCACTGCATAGATCGGATTCGTAGTGATCCTTGGTTTTAGCCTCCTAAACACTGGGATTACAGGTGTATGCCCAGTCTCATTTGCCATCTCACATGCCCCAGGGGTGGGGCCAGCATGGCACCCTGGGGATCAAACCCTGGGCCCTGCACCTGCCTAAGCAGGTGCTTTAGTCCCTTGAGCTATCTGGCCGGCCCAAACTTCTTGATTAACTAGAAATATAGACTGGCCTCTTTAATATGATCCCATTTAAACTCAAAATAATGCAAATATTTCTAAAAGGAGAAATACATAGTTGCTTCTGCACAAAAATTACTGTAAGCAAAAAAGGCAGGGCATAAAAACAGCCTGAGTATTCAAATTGTACTAGAGTAGTAGTTTTGTATTTTCAGTTAATAATTGGAGAATGAAATGGTCTTTGGGAACATCAGAAGCTAATGAAAAGAATTTGTGTGGTCCTCTACATGCATTAGACAACTGTTTACTTTGTTAGCTACAACTAAGATACCTCCTTGTTACAGGTTAAAAATTGGATATGCATCTAAAATAAGATGTAAGTCACTGAAGATTTTCAGAAGACCAAGCAAACTGTTCATGCAACCAGGTAAATATGAAATTTAAAGATACACATATGCTTTTTTTTAAATTTTAGGGAAGGGTCTACAGGGTGTCTCACTGTTAGATCTGATTTGTGATCCGCCTGTTTATAGCCTCCCAAGAGCTGGGATTACAGGCGTGTACCCAGTCTCAATTGCTGTCTCAGTGTGTCCCAGGGGTGGGGCTGGCACAGCAGGCCTGGGGATTAAGCCCTGGCCCTGCACCTGCTTGCAGGTGCTTTAATCCCCTGAGCTATTTGGTTGGCCCTTATACATGCATTTTTGAAGACACTATGTTTAAGAATTAAGCCAGACAGTTTGATTTTGAAAACATTAGAAGTTTTAGAATATGAACTGCTTTGATTCAGATAAGGATACTAAATATGAAACAGTTTATTTTTTATTTTTTAATTTTTTTGGCAGAACCGGGGATTGAACTCAGGCTCTCTTGTGCTTGCCAGGCAAGCGCTTATTCTACTGAGCTATCTCCCTGGCCTTTTATTTTTTTATTTTTTCCTATATTTTAGGGAAGGGTCTACAGGATGTTCAGGGTCTCACTACTAGATCAGACTCATATTGATTCTCCTGTTACAGCCTCCCAAGTGCTGGGATTACAGGCGTGTGTCACCAATCCCAGTCTCAATCGCCCTCTCAGCATGCCCCCAGGGCAGGGCCAGCATGGCAGGCCCGGGTGTTAAACCCCTCGCCCCTGCGCCTGCTTACTGATACTTTAATCTGCTGAGCTATTTGGCTGGCCCTTCTTTTTCTTTTTCTTTTTCTTTTTTGGTGGAACCAGGGATTGAACTCGGGCCCTTAGGTGCTTACTCTACTGAGCTGTCTCCCCGGCCCCTATGTTTTCATTTATAAGAACACACTGCTTGTGCTGGGTAGGCTTGACGGCACATGCATGCCTGTGATCCTAGCACCCAGGAGGCTAAGGCAAGAAAATTGCCAAGACCTCAAGGCCTGAACTACAGAGTGAGAGAGTCTAAAAAAAAGAAAACCCAACCAACCAACCAAACAAAAAAAACATACTCCTGGGGCTGGTGAGATGGCTCAGTGGTCTAAAGCACCTAGTTGGAACAAGCTAGGCAAAGTGTAGGGACCGTGGTTCGATCCCCCAGCACCATATGCCAGCCAGCAGCGCCCCCTGGTGGACTGAGCTGGCCACACACACACACACACACACACACACACACACACACACTAAATTAAAAAAAAAAAAAAAACACTCCTTAGTGAAGTGACAGTCAAGCCATTTTTCTCCTTTTGGTGAAGCTAATCCAGGGCTTCACACATGCTAAGTATGTGCTCTACTGCTGAGTTAGATCTGCAGCCTTTGAAGGTCTGTCTGTCTTTCTTTTTTTTTGTATAACTGGGGATTGAACTCAGGCCCTTGTGCTTGCCAGGCAGGCACCTTTCCTACTGAGCCATCCTCCTGGCCCTTGATGGTATTTCTAATTCTAAGTAAATTTGTAATATCAAAGCTGGAGACTTCACAGAGAATAAATCCTTCCAAACTCAGATCCACAAACGTAACCTTTTCAAGTCATCACTCTTTTTTATGAGGTAGTACCATGTTTGGATGGACAACATATTTTGTACAGCATCCAGTACGACAAATATCATTTATACTACATTGTTTGATATTCAACAAACCAGAAGAAGCAAGCTAAGCAAGTGATTATCAACATTTTACAGATGGAGCTCAAGTTAATTCACTTTGGAAAGATCTGTAGAAAGGACCCTTATGTCACAATTATAAAATAGTGTAAAATGAAAAGGGCAAAATAGGAAGACAGACTGAAGAATCAGGAGTATTTCTCAGAATTAGAAAATGATTCTATGGAAGTTAAGTAATTTCCTAGTTCCTATTCTAGTGGCAGAGAGGAGGGGAAGTTGGCATTCTGTCAGTCAGTGAGCTTTGAGGCCAGTATCATACTTGCCTAACTAAGAAAGAGGAGAAAGTAAGTGGTTTGAGCTGGGCATGGTGGCATGCGCCTTTAATCCCAGCATTTGGGAGGCTGAGGCAGGAGGATCGTTGAGAGTTTGAAGCCAGCCTGAACTATATATGGCAAGACCCTGTCTCCAAAAAAAACCAAAAACAAAATAAAAAAACAGAAAAACAAACAAAAAAGCCAGAAAATAAGTGTTCCCAAAAAACAGGTACAGAAAACCCTGACAGGGAAAAGATCACTATGGCCACCAAGAGAAGGAACTAAAGGACAATGGAGAGACACTGAAGGGTATGAGTGATCATTTTAACATCTTCCTAATCAAAAGATGCTGAAAATCTAAAGGAGTATGATATTCTGAGAATTTCCTATACAGATCCTTGATTAGAATATAGTCCTGTGAATCTTTTTAAAGAGTAAGAGAAGGAGCCGGGGAGAAGGCTCAGTGGAATAAGTGCTTCCCTGGCAAGCACAAGGGTCTGAGTTCAATCCCCGGTTCTGCCCAAAAAAATAAAATAAAATAAAAACAAAAAAATAAAGACTAAGAGATTTGGGGCAAAGAGAGGTGAGTAAAAGTTGAAAATTACAAGCAGTCTGTCGTTGCTAAAGGCACAGCTAGATCATTTTGTAAGTTGTATTTTGAACTTTATTTTCAAAACTGACAAACTATTTTTCCTTCAGTTTCTTCAAATGATTCTGGATCATACATGAGTGAAGAAAAAAAGGAAGACGATCTGTTAAATAAATGTATGCAATCAATGTCCATTGAAGAACAGGGAGAACATTTAATGTTAACCTGATAATCTTGTTACTGAATTCAAACAGCAGCTGATGTCCAGATAACATGCCAAAGGCGTCGTAATTATGCCCTCTGTGTGTAGGATAGTGTTATTCACCATTAAGTCATTCGTTTTGGTTTAGAAACTTTCATAACATTGTAATTGGTCTGATATAGTTCTGTGTACCAGTACCACTTGTGTAATAGAATTTATGTGTAATATATGCTTGTATTTCTGTGTAGGTGAGTTAGAATTTTTTTGTCAGTTAAAATTGAATTCTTTTTTTTTTTGACAAAGCATTGTATAATTCTTTCTATTTACAATAAATCCTAATATGGCAACATTAGAACATTCTACAAGTATTTTTTCTTTTTCTTTTTCTTTTTTGGCTGAACCGGGGATTGAACTCAGGCCCTTGTGCTTGGCTTATTCCACTGAGCCATCTCCCTGGCTCTCTACAAGTATTTTCTTGACTGGGCTGAAATTTATAGAACAGCATCTAATAGAGATAACACTATAATTTGCACAGAAGATGCTCGATAAATATTTGCTGCTTGAATGTAATTTAGAACGTAAGTCAAAAGCAGTGGCACATGACTATAATCTCAGAATTCTTAAGAGGCTTACACAGGAGGATGGCAAATTTCAGCCCAGCCTGGGCAATTCTGCAAGAATCTGTCTCAAAAATAAAAACAATTTAAAAGCTAAAATAATTTAAAATTTTTATATTTATTCATTTCTTTATTGGGCACAGGGTCTCACTACATAGTTCAGACTCACAATGATCTTCCTGTCTCAGCCTCCCCAGCGCTGGGATTACAGACATGCACTACCACACTCAGTTTTGGTGGTTGGCTCAGCATGTGGTACCAGGGGAGTGAACCCAGGTCCTTAAGCTTGCCAAGGCAGGTGCTTAGACTGCTGAGCTATCTCTGTGGCCCTCCAACTCTTTTTATATTTTATTTAGAAACAGGATCTCCCTAGGCTGACCTCAAACTTGTGCTCCTCTTATCTGAATTGACCAAGCAGCCCAGATTGTAAGTGTGAGCCACCATACTTGGCAACAAGAGGATTCTTTACATTATATATTTACTCTAGCGCTTTCTAGCCAAATGTTTGTGTTTTTTAAATTTTTGTTAAGCCTTGCAAAATAGTAGTAGCAATAGTATGAAGAACCACTGCTAATTTAACATGCCAATATGATGTATTATTTAGAAAATAAAATGTGAGGTTAACATGACACAGAAAGGAGAGTCCTGAAAGGTCATCTCTTTGACTTCACTTTAATACTTATATCCACACAGTTTCATTTGGTCTCTATAAGTTTTTATGTTTTTAAAAATTAAACACAGGTTATCAAGAAATTATAAATGAAAGGTACACATTTAGTACTGAAGAGAAAAATATATACAGAATGTCTAGATTCTTTCTCTTCATGCACTATTTTGTAAAAACACCCAAATACCAACTTAGAAGTTACTTAGGAGGATAAATTTTTCTTAACGTGACCATTTACTGTGTGGTAATTTTTTCATAAGCCATATACTGTAATGTAAACTAAATATATTCTTATAGTTTACAAGAAGCATAGAGCAATTATATACTAACAGAGAAGATGTATTTTACTGCAAAATATAAAAGTGATACAGTTGTGTAGCTCTTAAAGATTAATTGAACAAGGGAATGAAAAACAAACAAAATCATCAAGACAGGCCTGGCTTTAAGATTTTTTGTATTCAATTCGTTCTACTTTCACATCATCTCCAATTAGCTGATAGACGTAAGTGACCACTGTAGAAGCTTGGATATCCATCAACACAAATGACAGAATAATATTTCTGGAAGGAAAAAAAAGTCAGTTTATACTAAAAGCCATAAGCACTATAAATTTCTACTGAAGATAACAATTTGGACTCAAGAAAAAATCTGATTGTTACATATAAAAAATATATATCAAAAGATTACCATAAAGGATAGAATTATTTAAAAAGTTAAATTTCTCTTTTATGAAATGTGACCCAGCCAAAAAAAAAAAACCTTTCTGAAATGTGACCCATGCAGTTACTAACCTTACCAAGCCCCTAAATCCCTACAGTACACATCACTTACGTTTCCAAGGCATTATATGCCCCTGTGGCAGAACCTGGGTTAATGTAGAATTTATTTTCATGCTCAAATGCTTCAAATTTGTGTGTGTGTCCTGAGATAAGAATGTCCACATCAAACTGCCTCTGCAGTAGGGCTAAGCTGGCCATATCTCCCCATGGAATAACTTGATGTCCGTGGATAAGACCAATTTTGAACTGACCAACTGTCACGACTTTTTGTTCTGGGTAATTCAGATTCTAAGATAAGAAACAGACAAAAGAAAGATAAGTATTTTAGAGATGCTGATATTACAAAATATTAATCCTTAAATATTTTATGAATCTTGATACAGCACCCCACAACAAATATATTTACACATTTTTATTAGTATAAAAATTATGCTTAAAATACAATTATTCAAATACAAACTGGAATATACCAGGCAATCCCTTTTTGTGTTTATTTCTATAAAATATGGGTTCTTGGGGCTGGAGAGATGGCTCAGTGGTCTAAAGCACCTACTTAGAACAAGCTTGGCAAGGCATCGGGGACTGCGGTTCAATCCCCCAGCACC